CTTTTTCCATACTTTTAAAGTTTTTGGAGGGGGCAGGGGTACCAGGAATCGAACTCAGGACCTTGCACTTGTCAGGCAGGTGCTTGTGCTGCTGAGCTATACTCCCAGCCCCATACTTAAATGTAAAAATACGTAAACACATGCAATATCAATTTCACCTTTGAATAGCCACATCAAGATCACCGGAACCATTCCACATGAAATACTGATCAAGAGCTGGGCATGGTGGCACCCGTGTAATCCCAGCACTCAGGAGGCTGAGGCAATAGGAGCCTGGGCTACATAGCAAGTTCAAGTCCAAGTGTGGACTACAAAGCAAGACCTTATCTTAAAACAGCGAAAGAATAAAAAGAAACCGACTGAACTTACTGAAAATACCCCACAGCAGACACACTGCACTTCCCTCCTCCGTTCCCCCAGCTAATGTGCCCTGAACTGCAGCCTGTTACCTTGCTTATGCTTACCTTTTGCACCTGTACTTTCATTCCCACAGGACAGTTAGATTTATGAATCTTCCCTGTTTGTCACCTGAAACTCCTGTTCTGTAAATTGTCTGCCCATCCCTACAGCCATTCTGCAGGTTTCCTCATCAATTTGTGGGTTTTTTTGTTTTTTGACAGGGTCTTGCTGTATAGTACAGACTTCCCCTAAACTAACTATGTAGCCCAGCCTGGCCTCAAACCTGCCGCTATGCTCCTGCCTCAGCCTCCCAAGTGCTGCGACTGCAGGTGTGCGCCACCACGCCCAGCTCATCAATTTGTAAAACCTCTTTGTGTATTATACACAATATCCATTTTTATTGCATGCATCACAAATATTTTTCCCATTATATAATCAATGTTTTTGGTTTTATAATTTATCTTTGCCATATAAAATGTTAACATGTTTAATTTTGTACCAATGTGGTAGCACACACTGATAGTTCTAGCAAGACAGAAAGATGACTGGAGGGCTAGGGAGGTTGCTCAGTGGCACAGTGCTTCCCTGGCAAGTGCAAGGTCCTGAGTTCGATTCCTGGTACCACCCCCCAGAAAAATAAGTAAATAAATAAATAGAAAGAAAGAAAGAAAGAAAGAAAGAAAGAAAGCAAGATCACTTGGGCCTAAAAGTTCAGGGTTAGCCAAAAAATAAAACACAAACAAAAACCCCTGGCTACTCAGGAGGCTGAGTTAGGATGACCCAGGCCAGCCTGGGCAACTTAGCAAGACTGACTCAAAATTAAAAACAGAACTGCAAAGGACTAGGGATGTAGCTCAGCAGCAGGATGCTTACTCAGCACGCATGTGTGAGGCCCTGGTTCAAACCCCAGTACACTCAAACCCAGCATATGTAACACTTTCATGGGTTTTGGTTTCTTGTCCTACATGGTTTCTGCTACCACAAAGTTGTAAAACCATTTCCTATATTCTTTTTTCTTTTTTTTTGCGACAGGGTCTCACTATGCAGTCCAGGATGGCCTTGAACTCACTATGTAGCAGAGGGTGGCCTCCAACTCATGGTGATCCTCCAGCCTCTGCCTCCCAAGTGCTGGGATTATAGGTGTGCACCACCATGGCCAGCGAGGTGCTACTTCTAAAGCACAGCTAAGTTCAATTTGCTAATTTTTACTTTAAAATTGTTGTTTCCGCCAGACATGGGGGCACACGCCTGTAATCCCAGCACTTGGGAGGCTGAGGCAGAAGGATTGTTGTGAATTCAAGACCAGCCTGGGCTACAAAGTGAGTTCCAGGCCAGCCTAAACTGCATAGAGAGATCCTGTCTCCAAAAGACCAAAAAAAAAAAGTTTCGAATTTACCACTGCTAACTCTTTTCTACACTAACTGAAATTTTGTCATCTGAAGCTGGGGCTGTGTCTCAGTGGCAGAGCACTGGCCTGGCACTGCCAAGGCCTTGGGTGCATTGCCAGCAAGCACGGCACTCCCAGAAACAACAAAAAGTTGTGCCCGGCTTTCCACCTCACTGCTTGCCTTGGGAGCTCAGATGTTTTGCACTAGGCCCTGGCAAGAGTGCCGAATGTCGCAGTGCAGAGGAGAACTGAAGGGTATCTGCCGCTGCGGGTAACGTGACTGGCCTGCTCAGCTACAAGCTTCCACCCTTCCTTGCCTCCTCCAGTGCCTGTTCTGTAACTGGAATAGATTCATCTGCTGCAGTTATGGAAGATAATTTGCTTCATGACTGTTTTGGAGCGTGGATCTGGTCCCTGCGGCTCTGTACTCACCAGCACAACAATTCCAGCGACAATTGCTAGCGTCACAACAACGATGACAGCAATAACACCGGCCGTGAGGCCCTGCATTGAAAATTCAGGTGGCTTTTCATCAACATAGTAAATTAGAGTTTGACCAGGGTCCAGATCCAGTTGTTCCCCGTTGACTCTCAGGTCCATTTTCTTAGAAGAGAACAAGGATTCGCCTTTAACCTATGTTAAAAAGGAGAAAAACCATTTAAAACATTTAAGAAAAACAACAATGGCCCCCTGTTATTAGACCCTGCCTCCAAAAAATAAAAAAGGAAGCTACATCCCCAGCCCTGCGAATCTCTTTTTATTTCCCCCCATTGTGAGACAGGGTCTTTCTAAGCGGCTAAACTGCCCGGGCTGGGCTCAAACCTCCTGCCCTCCTGCCCTAGACTCCAGGATTCCTGGGTTACGGGCCTGAGCCACCACTCCTAGCTATGAAGAACAAACTTAACTACAGAATCACCATGTAGAAATACGGTTTGTCTGTATATGGAGAATTAAGAGTTGAACACAAATAACAACGAGATTTAAGCCGGGCGTGGTGGCACACACCTGTCATCCCAGCACTCAGGGGGCCAAGGCAGGAGGATTAAAGGTGAGCTCAACACCAGCCTGGACTACACAGCAAGACCCTCCCTCAACAACGCCCCGAAAGTTTATACTTACATCTTTTTCAAAATAATAAGCCACATCAGCTATGTCCACATCATTCTGAGTCTTCTGAGAAGAATTTTGCATCAGATCAATAGTGATAACATTATTCTCATACTGGGAAGGGGGATGAAAAACATAAGTTAATATCAATATAATCAAAATTATATTAAAATATATTCAGGGCTGGGGCTATAACTCAGTGGCACAAGCGCCTGCCTGGCAAGCGCAAGCTCCTGAGTTCAATATCCAGTACCAAAATAAAGAAAAAAATTCCGTTTTTTATTTTCTGTAACGTACAAGCATCAGTGTTCTTTTAGTGGTAATTAAATTCATCACTAATTATTGAATAATCTATCCAAGGTAAAAGAGAGCAGTGCAAACAATCATGATACATGTTTTAAAAACTGAGGTGCAAAGAGTTAAGCAGAGTTAACTGGAGAAGGAAGAGCACCTTCACCCGCAGAAATGGAAGCAAGCAAGGAAAGCCAAAAAAAGGAGGCTGGGGGAAGAGCAGCATCGTAGTGTGTGCAAGGAGCAATCAGAGACGCTCCTGTGGGCACAGAGCTGCGTGTGTCAGGGGCACTAAGAGATGCTATCTTTCCTTCAAGGGCAGAACTGGGGTTTTCAAAGGCTACAAAGAAAACAGCGATTTCGAATTAAATGCCCAGGACTTACACTATTATTTAAATTCATTTAACTACTACTAAAATCACTCGCTTTATACCTACATCATGCTGTTCCACCAACTTTTTTTTTTTTGTCTTTTTGAGACAGGGTCTCGCTACGCAGTTCAGGCTGGCCTTGAGCTCACTTTGTAGCCCAGGTTGGCCTTGAACTTGCAATGATCCTCCTGCCTCAGCCTCCTGAGTGCTGAGATTACAGGTGTGCTCCACCTTGCTCGGCTCCACCAACTTTCTGCTCAAGCTTATTTACCAAAAATCTTACCAGAATATTTGCGATAAATTTTGAATTCAGCTGGTAACGGGTTGTGAGCATCTCTTGAAGTGCACTGTAAGTAATTTTAAAAATCAGGGTTTAAAAAACATATTTATACCACACAACAGTAAGAAGCTCTACTTTTGTTTTAAGATAGTGTCTCCATAAGCAGCCTACATCGGTCTCAAACTACCCTCCACCTGCTTCAGCTTCCAGAGTGCTGGCACAGCACCATCACACCGGCTAAGAAACCCTACTTCTTAACAAAGACAGCTCAAGGTCTAGTCATTACTAAAGTTGCTAAAAAAGTTCTTTTAAAATATGGAATGCATCACAAATTTGCATATCATCCTTGTGCAGGGACTACGCTAATCTCTCAATCACCCCAATTTGGGCAGGGGATTTAGCTCAGTGGCAAAGCACCTGCCTGGCAAGCGCAAGGTCGTGAGTTTGGTTTCCGGTACCGGAGAAAAACCAAAAAAAAAAAAAATCACTCCAATTTCAGTACTGCACTGCCCAAGTAGAACTGAAGTTGTTAAAATTTTTATGCCGCTTTGCAACTATCATAATAAAAATTGCTTCAGGCTAACATAATACATTAATACTAAAACTGCTGAGTGCCATTTCCACTAGAAACGGAACATTTTGCTCTGTAATCCCAGCACTCAGGAGGCTGAGGCAGGAAGGTCACTGTGAGCTCCAGGCAAGTTTGGGCTACCTAACAAGATCAAGGCCAGTCTATGGTCATACCACCTTGAACGTGCCTGATCTCCTCTGATCTCGGAAGTTAAGCAGGGTCGGGCCTCGTTAGTACTTGGATGGGAGTTCAAGGCCAGCCCAAACTATACAGCAAGAATCTGTTTCAAAAAAAAAAAAGTCTAGCAAAGAAAACCTGAATTTGATAAATAAAAATCTAGTATTTATGTTTTTAAGAAAGTTTTGTAAGCCGGGTGTGATGGCACATGCCTGTAATCCCAGCACTTGGGAGGCCGAGGCAGGAGAATTGTTGTGAATTCGAGACCAACCTGGGCTACAAAGTGAGCTCGAGGCCAGCCTGAACTGCATAGCGAGACCCTGTCTCAAAAAGAAAAACAAGGACTGGGGATCTAGCTCAAC